TTTAGGGTTTAAGGTTTAGGGTAAACATTGGGGTTCATGGGTCCAGGGATTTCATAGACTTCGGCCAAGGCTTTAGGGTTGAGGGCCAAACGGTGGTTTAGGCAACCCTATAATAGGCCGGCCTGTTTACTGAGCCGAAACCCTAAACCCCTAAACCCAAACCCCTGAAACTTTTAAAACCCTAAACTCTGAAACCCTAAAACTCTGAATCTCCGAACCCTCACCCCTAAAACCGAGAAACTCTCGAATTCGGGGTCCCGGCAGGCCGTTTCGGCGGTGGAGGTCGGGCCCGTAAGCCCGAAGACGTGCGAGAGCCGATTCGCAGCTGCAGAGCGCTCCCTGACAGGACTTCTCTAACCAAGTTAGGGCTTTAGGGCCTTTGGGGCTTTAGGGCTTAGGGCTTAGGGTTTGAAGGTTTGTGGCTCTTAGCATTCGGGGTTTAGTGTGCGTTTGTGTTTTTCCCGGGTTCCTTTCCTCCTCGCCTAAGGTCGGCAGGAATGGCACGTTGGCAGAACCAAGGGGCTTAGGTCAACAAGCTGATCATCGTAGCTAAGAGGCAGTGAGCCGCACTCTTTAGGGTTTGGGGTTTAGGGTTTTCGGGTTAGGCTCAAGAGGTTTCTAACAAAAGCGCCAAGATACTTGGTGTGTATTCGGTATTTTGCTCCACAACCTGCACGTTGGTCATACTGCAGTATGTAAAAAAACTATTCCCAGTTTCGCAGCTACTATCATTTTATGTGCTATCATGCTGCTTTTGTTGAACGAATATGCTCTCCTGCGAGTGTTTACACATAAAGGCACCATGTCAGAAACTATAATATCATCGACGCGTTCCTAATTCTCTCGTGGAGACAAGATTGCTGTATACAGAAACATGTTGCCAAGTATGTAACAGGTTCTAGCTTAGCATCCCCAACGAATAACTGCCTATCATTTATATAATGTTATGTAGTGTTAGTAAAGTCTTGTTTAACCGTGTCTCCTTCGTACTTTACATCAACACTTGCTTAATAGTGAGATGCTTTCAGATTTTTTACTGAAGACACGAAAGTTTGACAGCAATTATTGTCAGTGCTAATTGGATGTTTACTCCATGTTGCTAGGCAACTAGATGATGCTGGCGGAGATAGTCTTTGACATTTACGCTGTCCATGCGACTTCTTCATATTTCTTCGTGAAGTTCGCAGTTATGGTTGAAAATTTCATTGGAGGAGTACTCACTCATACGTACTTAGTTATGTAAAACTTAAATAATGTACTTAACCACAAGACAGTAATGAAGCAGCTAGTAGCATGTAGGGAATACTTTATAACTGTTTCATAGGTGCTCACTCAAAACTACGGGATGGCAACTGCTATCTACGTCATGTACAAATCACTTCTAAGATCCTCCGTTCTCTACTATTGCTGCTCCTAGTAGATCACTTCCAAAATTCAACGAACTGCGTCAGCAGGATTCGTTTGCGTGGTGTCCACATACGGAAAGCTCAACTGTGCATTTAATCCGTGATGATCCAGCATCTACGAACATGTCGTCGTTGTTGGATCGCCTTCATCCTCAAGAAAGACTGGGTTTGTACTTAACCGAAACCAATTGGGTGTACACACATGTGTACTTAGTATAACTGTGATGAAGAACTGTTCACATGTATGCCTGACATTTGGCAACCAGAAAGTCTTTACGTATACCACACTGTTATCAACTGCACACTGATCAGTTTTGGATCCTAATCAGATGTGTGTTAAACCACGGTTTACATGTCAAATAGCCGCGAACAAACAGGAACCAATCATATGACATATGTTTGGAGAAAAAGATGATAAATTGAAACATGCGCAGGATGCATTTTTTAATAAGAACCAATGCGTTACATGCATGTACTGCATAGCCAATATTAGTCAAGCGCCAATTGGCTGAATATGAACTGAACAGTATTCAATCATGAACTGTTCAAAAACATGCTACTTTTCGCTAATTCTCACAATCCTTTAGTGTTGGGTACTGGTACACATTCATGAGGTGTCCAATCTGGTAATTAGTTAATAAACTCTTCTCGGACAAACATCATGATGAAAGCTAGCGAGTCGAATCTGAAACTGCTAGTCAAGATAAGTATCGGGCAAATACTCAAATATAGATACTATAATCACTGCGCATAGCTCAATGGTCCATGAGTGATTTCTACATTTTACGCTAATACTAAAGGTTAGATCCTGTTTCTTATGAAGTCTTCGGAAACACTAAATCAAGCCTAGCTCCCGTCGACCCACCTGCAGCCATTACCCAAATACTATGGCTACTCCTTCAAGCGTACATCCGCTGAGTGTCTTTACAGAAAATGCTCACATCATATGTCCGGTCCTGTCCCTCAGCAAGACTAGATTTCCTTTTTGTACTGCTCATGCGCTCCCCAAGCAAAGATTCCTCACACAATTACACAAGACGTAGATTCCAAGAACCCAGCGCAAGAAAATCACACCATACGAGTATTCAAGCAACCTCGAATTCCCCAAAAATCCAAGTTCAAACAGCAAAAAAGCACAAAAAAAAAAAAATTACAGGCATCTGACAGGGATCCCTGAGCATGCACGAAAGAAAGAGCAAGAAAGAGAGCAAGAGCGAAGATGGTTTGGGGATATGTTTTGGGAACTGCTAAGAAATTCCCCGATTGCACTTTTGGAATTCCGGAAACCCAAAGCTTGGCCTCTCAGGCTTTGGAGTTTCTACATCCAGTACATGTGGTCAATGTGGGCAGGGATTCGGGACGTTCTATCAGGAATTGGCTGTAAAAAGACCCGAGAGGATCATGCTTTGCCTGCCCGCCAGCTTGATGTCCAGGTCTTTGCCCATCGTGTAGTGAATGCCATCCCAGTCGGAGCCTCCGAGAGACGAACTGAAAAACACAACCGGAAGACAGAGTGTTTCTGAGGATCGGGCCGGAATCCCCGCAGAAGACGCCGCACTTCCAGTTCTTCAGCTCGCTTCGCCGGTGCCCGGCATTGTGTAGGGCCTCATAGCCCACCTCCAAAGTCAGCAAAAGGAAACCTTTAATAGATGCGATGACGGGACACTTCAGACCCAAGGCCTCCAACATGACTCGCATGTAAGGGGCCATCTCTATCGCCTGTCGGATGACGATTCGTGCCGCAGGAAGCCCGAGGAAGCCTTCGAAGCATCCTCTCAAAAATAAGGAGGCCTCCCTCTTGTCGATGCCGAAGAACTGGTTGTCGAACATCTCGATTTCCGACTGCAAGCCGGGGCCAAATTCCCAGTCTCCAAGCCGAAGCCCGTCCCGAAAACAAACTCGCGCGCCCCCGGCCCACCCCCGCGCCTGTTGAAGATTCGCTCCATGGCAGGTCATTGAGAAGCCGATCGTGTGCTCCGCCCTGGCAAAAGGGCTAACTCCCTGTTCCTGCAACGGCAGCTACGGCTTTGGCGGGCCCGCGGCGCCTATAGTAGATGTCCGTGTCCCAGCGCTGGACGGGTATTTTGACCTGCGTGTTGCTGGAAATCACGGGATTCTTGGGATGTTTAGGTTCCGAATAGCTATAAGGGCCTTGATACGTTTCTGAATGTCACATGTCTCCGAGCCTCCGTGTCCGTGCCGGCGGCCAACATGTTCCAGTACGCCTGGAACAGAGCAACGCTCCGTGTCTCACACTGAAAAACACCAAGACGAAGACACGAAAATCGATGTTCTCCTGCCTGCACCTCGAAGCCGAGACCCGGATATCGGGTGCAAACCTCGGGGTCGAATCGAAGCAGGACCACAGGACCAAAGCCTCGAAGTAGAAACTGGTAGGAGTGCCAGTCCTCCTCGTCGCTGCGGTAGCGGCACTGGAAGTAGTGGTTTGTTCACTGTGATGCACAACAACCGAGAGTCAGAGCCACGACCAGAATAGCAACAAGAGAACCAGAACCGTCACCCTCACATTACCCCTGGTACGGCCATACCATGCATGTGCCCACTACCCCCCATGAAATTCCCATGAAAGAATATCCGAGCGGCCCCCATGACGTTGTTACGTCTGCCTTCTGGCTCCTCTGGGCCATCTAGGATTCGCAAGGCCTCCCAACAGAGGCAGAGGCGAAGGTGAAGTCCAGGATTCCGGCGGATGTTTCGCCCCCGCCTCCTCCTTGTCCTTCCACTCGGAAGGCACGTCCAGCACCCAAGACTGCAGCGCCATGTGCTTGCCTCCCCGAGATCTCTAGTCGCGACTAGACCGGGGCTCAAGGGCAACAGGGCAAAGTGGCAAAAGGCCTTTGGGGCGGTAGCTGTAGTTCAAGCCCAGGGCATCACAACGAAAGACGATGAGCTTGTTCTTGGAGAGCGGAAGCGTCACCTCGAAAAGAGCCAGCAGCTCAGCTTCAGCTGCTCTTCAGCAGCCCTCGGACCCTCTCCCCCAAAGCCGCCCTTGGGGCCCTCAAGGGCCTCATTGTAGTCGTAGCCCGTGGGATTTGGGAACAGCTCCAGCTCACCACCGTCCTCGGCACAGTCTGGTTTTTTTGCGCTTTTCGGGGCGCCACGAAAAATACTGGGTCCCAGGCGTTGTCGATGAGAAAAATCATCGCCAGACGCCTGACATTCCACGATGGATCTTCACCGACATGGGAACCCCATGTCGTGCATCAAAGGTTTACCGTGCCATGCCACGATGCATTCCCTTGCAGTACCAAAGAAATCGCGAATCTGTTCCAGTGCTGGTAGTGGGGGCCCGAGATGAGAAGCCCTGAGGCATCTCGTCGTGATGCCAGGCCACGAGTACTACGAGTACCCTGGGTTACATGTCCGGCAGCTAATGAAACACATCAAGCGAGCGCAATTAACTGGATCTCGAACGCAGAGTGCGGCGCCCTCAACACATGGCTGCACCCCCACGTAGTTCGGCGCCCTTTGGCCGATGATCTGTTTCTTCGCAGCTGAGGGGTCCCCTTACAATCCCGCCAGGTGCGCTTGCCATCTACGAAGCCGATGTGCATGTCGAGCTCACTCTGCTCGTCCTGTACAAGCGTACAGATGAGCGCCTTGTACAAACATGCTGCGTGCATACACTCACGGGCCAATGAATGCTATATAGCTGTACAACAGATACAATTCATCACACTTTCTAGGGATCGCACGTTCTAGGAATCGCACGTTCTAAGTTGCATGTATAACATATGCTTTACGTATCACACACAACACACCAACAAGTGCGATATGATGATGAAAATGCTACCATCACACTGCATTTAGCTATTTGGAATATGCAGCTTGTGTGAAGTATTATACCCAGAGAGACTACTGCTCTGTAGCGAACATGTAATATGTCTACTGGCTTTTTCATTGCAACCCAAAATGACGCTCATCGATCACTCACTGAAGCTGATAAAAACCGAAACTATTTCCTGCAATATCTAAGTGTTGTGGTCAATAATTGGGCTACATTCTGGGATTCTTCGTATGTATTTGATGGATGCGAGTACATTGAAATTATATTTTCAGAAAACGAAAACTCTAAGAGAATGTGCTCTTCAACACGATACCGGATCTAGTGCAATCGTAATGAGTGGTGTCATAGACAAGGATGTTCGGTTTTGCTTTAATGCTGTATTGTGGTGGCGTTGCTTAAATGCCTTGGATAAGCGCGAAAACAATAATCTTTGAAGGGAGTGGTATAGGTTCATATGATAGAGGTGATACGAAAAGCTGTTCCGCTTATTGAAGAGGGTTTTGCCAGACACCATAGAATACGTAACGCTACGTTAAGGTGCTAGTAATCCATGCCGATGCTTTCGCATAATTGTGGAAGGATTACAGGCAATAAGCACGATTTCTGGTGTTTGAATGATTGTAAACGGCTTTCTGGCAATGCTTAATATGCTCATTTAGCTGTTTGCATGCTGTGCGTTCTAGGCAATACCCATTACGGTAGGGAAACAACGATGATGATACAGATTGTGAGAAGGTTCTGTCAGACAAATGACGATGATCATACAGATTGTGATGATGGCCGTAGCACGGACACATAGCAGGACTACTAGTACGAGGGGTATAGGGAATACTTCGCATGATTGTTTGTCTTGGTATTTGTGTTGGAGGGGTTACAAGCAAGACTATTTGTGCTTCGAAGGATACTATAGGCGAAACCTACGATTAGTAGCGCAAGGGGTATGACAACAGTTAGCATGAGTATTGGTGTTCGGAGTAGGCAATGTTTGGCATGCTTAGTAGTTACGGGTAAAGGGGTTAGAGGCAACACCAACAATGGTTGTTTGTTATTTGTATTCGGAGGGGTTCTTTGCGTGTTTGGATGGCTTGTTGCATGGCGAAAGTTAGAGGGATTGTGAGGAGGGGTCTCGGGACCATTACGCGGCTTCGGATGAGGTCAACAGGGAAAGAATCTTCGAAGTAGCTTGGGAGAAGGGTAGCCTCTATATATATATATATATATGTATACATATATGTATATGTATGTGTATATATATATATATATATACGGAATATAAGTCATATCTATGTCTATGTATGCACGTCACGTGCGGGGGATGATATGAAAACAGCCCGGGATACGTGTGGATCCCGCTCCGACACATCTCCAATCAGACAAGCATCCAATTGACCCAGAAACCTCTAATTGTGAGACTAAGCTCCGAGTGAGTCTTGGAAATCCTAAGGTCCCAGATATCTCGAGCTCCAAACGCGAAGATCCGAAGTCGCAGGATTCATCCGCCCTTCGCTGCCTGACCGAAGGTCCGGCTCCGAACACCTCTCGGGAGATCGGAGTCTGAGCGGGCTCCGGGGGGGTTCTGAGCGGGTTCTTAGCGTGATCTTACCCATCTCGGGTTCCGAGGCTTCCCTGGACAGCTCTAAGGCGACCCTTCGCTGGAGGTGACTTTCAAGCGGAGGCCGCCTTCGTCTCCGGGATTAATTGAGGATCTCACCTAAGCGGTGCACGTCGCAGACAAGAAGCAGGCGACAGATGTGACCTGTTGGCTGTTGCCAACATATAAGACCCCTTCTACACTGCCTTCTGTCGTAAAATCCGACTACGGGGGTAAATACACCGAGTTCCCAGAACCAGTTTATCGTCCATTGCGGCCACGAGTTGAACGACCACCACAACAGCAGGATCTGGCACTGATCTCTGGCACCTGTTTGTACTAGTTTCTACATCAACCCGTGTTCAGCAGTGCCACGTCTACTGCCGTCACATCTCGTCACGCTTACTGTCATCACCCTGTTTGAATTCAAGCCACGATCTCATTGCAGCTACTTCCACGGTTCCACGACTTTGTCTATGTCTACGACGACGCCGGCGACGACGAGTGTTGGTGCCGGCCCCGCCATGCCCAAGCCAGCACCCCATTGCTGCCTACATCCAGCAAGCATGCTGCGAACAATGTCTGAGTCATTACTGTTCAGCAAAAGCCTTGTCACAAATTCTGTAGTGAACGGGTAATTTGTTGCTGCCTTGCGAACGAAGCCGGGCTCCCGGCCAATCCACTGGTGCGCTGGAAAACTGCGAAAGCCTTGTCATCCTCATACTCCGGCGTGTAAGGCCTCGGGACAAATTCTGAAGCCTTGCCTTGCTTCGGAAAAAAGCCCCCAAGCCCAGTGAACATGTTTGACTTCCCCGTCAAGCCTGGTCGACAGATCGAGGGGAGGGAGAACCAACAGGCAGGAATTCCTCTTCCTGCCTGTTCTCTTCAAGCTCTTCGTGAACATTTCAAAAGCGTCTAGCATCTCTAGGCGGGAGTGTCAGAAGATAGGCACCCTTCGGTCGACAATGGCATCATCCTCGTTATGCCGACCTGTTACGTCGCAAACCTCGATGAGCACCTGAATTGTTTATCGAATCGAGTATAGTCTACTACAACAGAGCACAGTATCAGTATAGTCAAGTCTAGTCTGGTACAGTCTAGTAGAGTATCCCTGTCTAGCATAGTCCATAAGTGTCTAATATCTTCCTGCGGCCACAGAAAGCGAACACTCCCCAGATATCAAGTCTCATAATACCATAGCATATGATATCTTCATGCGATGTCCCAAAATCCCGAACACTCCCCGGGTTCTACTAACCGGGCCCTTCCGAGGCCCGCTCCACATCAGCGCCGCCACGTTCGTCAGCGCTCGGTCGCAGAGCTCCAGAGGCGCCTCAAGATGCGGAGCTAAGAAGATGCTGAACAGGAGTTTAGGGTTTTTTTGTTGAAGGCCTTCTTCCGTCTCATGGAGCATCCTTCATCCAGAATCCACATTGTGGAGTTTAGGGCTTAAGGTTTAGGGATTAGGTTTTAGGTTGATCGCGGGGGGATACAGAGGTGAGCGGGAGATTCAGATATGGGATCAGATGCAGATATGTGTGCATCGATATTGCGACCGAAGTGGGATCGTGCCACCACACGAGATCGCGACAAGCCAAGGGAACGAAAAGGGTGCCGGAGGTAAAGAAAGGGGGGGGGTTGAAAGTATGCAGTTTCTCTTTTTGCTCCATGCTGTGGTCGACTTGCGGTTCATGATTTCGGTGGAGAAGGCTTCAGGTTTGGATAGGCTTCGTGTCTTGTGGAATGCCTTCAGCCTTAAAGGCTCAGGGCTCTCGGCCCCAGGCCAGCCGATCCATCTGCATGTTCGGCCCCATCTCCTCGATGTCGTACATCCGGAGCCCGGAGCCTTTGCTCGCCTGACCAGCGACAGAACCATTTCGGGAACACAACATACATACATTGTCTACATATGTGTATACATATGTGTATACACATGAATATACGGATGGATGGATGGATGGATGTGTACATATGTGTATGTACTTACGTGTGTGTGTGTGTATATATATATACATATATGTATATATGTGTACACACATATACGTCAAAACATGTTCCACGGATTCTTCAGCAATTCACACGTGCTTTAGCTTGAGCCAACAGCACGTGCGTTGGAGCCGGGCAACTATACAAACTGGACCATATGGGTGAGGATTAAGTCTTGCTATATCTGCGCATTGACCATTACTTGTTGGATTTTCTCAGATAATTCGCGTAATGATCATTTCATATCATGTTTTGCAACGAAGAAACGCAGCGCGGGCTCTGGTTGCTGCGCCTGATAGCCGACGTACTGGAGCCAGGCCACCTTGCAGTCGCTCACCTCCACGCCCAAATACTCCTCCTCGGTTTCCTCGGTATCCGGACGAGGCCCTAACCTATCGAGCCGGAACCCCGGCGGCGAAGCCGAAAGCCCCAAAAGTTCCAGATCCTCCCTGTGTACCACCCCGGCCCGGCCGCCGAGTGGCCGCCGGAAAAATGCCCCACTCCATCGGCCCCACGCTGCCTTCGATCTCCTTCACGGCCCTGGCATAAAGGGAGGTGGCTCCGGTCCGGGCTCTTCTCGGGCCTTTTTAAGAGAGCCGAAGTTCTGAAGCTTTTTCAGAAGGCAAACGTGGAATATATGGAGAGGGCACAATTAGAGATAATTAGAGATAATTAGAGCTTCGAGAGAGCTCAGGCCAGGCAGACTCGTCGGCGAGCTCCATGCTGATGACGCAGTACCTCGGATAACTCGCACTTTTTCAGGGGCCATCGAGATCTGGCGCTCTCCACGTAAGAAGGCGGCCCTTTGTCATTGACAGTCTCGGCAACTGCTGCAGAGAATTCCTCATGCTCATCAGGGCCCTTGGTCCCAGGGAAACGTGTGCTTGGTCTGCGGGGCATTGCGAGCCGGGTGCGGGACAGCGGGCCAGGCCACGTCGTAACCGCCATCTTCCGGGTGCGGAGGACCGTAGTCCTCCTCCTGGCACGCCAACCCCGGTTCACCGGAGCGCCATCAAAGCGCAGACCCGGAAACCTCTTCGTCGCGTTCACGGTAGACCATGGCCCTGCGATCGAGAGGCAGAGCAAAAGCTGGAAGAGAGACTGGCAACGCGCCTTCCAAAGCCAAAGCTCAAGGCCCACCATGTGGCGAAGCTGTGAGCCACAGAGCCAACAGAGCACGCCATCGCCAGGGGTTCCGGGCGCACCGGGGCGGCAGTGACACAGTGTCTCGATCGGATCGTCTCCCTTCACTCGAGCGGCCACTCTCCGCGATTGAAGCAGCGAGGCCAACTACACGGTTGCACGCTCCAACAGCGCATTGGCTTTGGCCAATGCGGTTGGCCTAGATGGCCAGGGACGTCCCCGTGTTTACGGGTCGTGGTGGCCAGGAAATTGTCTGTTTTATCCTACCCTCACTTCCAGGCAACTCGACTCCTGAGGCCGCCAAGCTCAGTAAGTCTCTCCCCAGCACAGCGCGGGTAGCAGAGCCCCCGCCCCCTTTTTCATGCAGGTGCCTTGGAACACCTCGCTCGAAGCTTAAACACTCCCAGGCTTCACTGCGAAGTTCGCCTAGGCGAACCGTCGACCAGACTTCGTACATAATGGCCAGGCCTACCCTTTAAGGGAAGCGCTTTTCATGCCGAGACAAGGCCCTAACAATTGCGCGAAATGCTGGCTTCTCGCTCCATCGGCCATACGAAGGAAAAGCCACCTATGTTTCCTCTATCAATCGTCTGATTGCGCTAGAAGAGCTCGGTTTTTCTGTTTGGCAAGAATCCAGAGAAACAAAGGCAGAGAAGAATTCGGGTCGAGTCGGGAACCCCGTGTCTTCGGGACGGCTTCGCTCGGAACCCGGGAAACCCTGCCCGCAATCCGCACACCTCAACGCAAGATGCTGGCATTGTCATGCTGAAAGAGTTATACAAGCTCATGAAACTGCGTGCGAGATGGGACGGGCATAGATTCAAGGAAAGAAATAGCTATTACTTTTCTTGGCAGAAAAGATCTGGATCTGGTGCTTTGGAGAATGATTTCTGTACCCGGCAGCTGCAATCAGCTCCGGCTTCCTCTCGCCTTGCACCGCCTTAAGGTGCAAGGCCATTCACATCCGCCAGGGCGCTAGGGCCGCCAGGTCAGGTCAAAGCAGACTCCCCAAGGGGAGCTCTAGTCCAAGACCTCCGAGGCAGCCCGAACTCGGGAGCCAATCATGTCCTCGCACAGACAAGGGCCCGACTGAAAGAAAATCTGGGCGAAGCAAACGGCGCTCCCGGTCTGGGAAGCTCTGGGAGCTCCTGATCATTCCTGCAGAGGCAGAACACCAAATCCTTGAAACCGTCGGTTGCGTGCGGAAAGGACACGGCGTGACGCTGTCGTGCCTGGAGGAAGGCGTGGCGTGAGGGTCGTGAAGTCGGCATCAATCAGGTCTTCTGCTCCTGGCAGCACGCGAAGCTTTGGAAGACTCGGCCACTTGGGACTGCGATGCGAAAAGAGTCGAATGTCTCTGAAAGCTGCTGCAATCTTCAAGAGGTCGCTGGCATTGGAGTTGGAATGACTTCGATGACTTCGAAAGCCTCCTCACCCCTAGAGCCCTTAGAACTGCAAAGCCTACAGCTGCTCAGCTTGTCCCGACTTGCCCGAAGCCCTTTCCCGCCTGGACATCCGAGATCAATGGAAGCGGAATCGTTCTGGCTCTCAAGGAAGCCCTGGGAAGCGTTGCAAAACTGCGTTGCCCCCTGCTTGAGGCCCTCCCCAAAGAGGATTGAGAGTTTCATAATATGCAAGTTTCAGGGAGCTTCGGCCTTGGCGTCGGCTTGGGAAAGCCTGAGTGCAGGCCCGGAGTCGGATTGTCGGATTGTCGGATTGTCGGATTGCGCTGCGTCCGCTGCGAGATGCTTTAAAAGTGAGGCGGCGACAGGTCTCTGCAGAGATCCAGATGGTGGGCCAGGGCTATCGCAGGGGAGTCCTGAAAGCGACAGAGGAGAGGTCCTGGCAGCGGCCCCGAGTCCCGAGGCCTTCATTCCGACGGAGGGCGCCGTCCGCAAGCGGTTCTTGCGCCGCAGCACTTCCGGCCTGGAGCCGAGATGAGCCGAGGGAGAGCGGCGCCGCCCCGAATCCGTCCGAGCTTGCGACCGATGTACCGGGCCTGAGACGACAGCGCAGATAGAACAGGAGCCGAAAAGTCGGGTCGAAAGAGTCTAAACGCAACTCGAGCGGCGGATGTTCGCAGGGAGGAGGCCCTGCTTCCAGTCTTCCTCCAACTTCTGCAACTTCTCGTTGCGCTGCCTCAGAGAGAGAGAGAGAGAGAGAGAGAGAGAGAGAGAGAGAGAGCTCGGAACTTTCGACGTCTTTCAACTGCTCCCTTGAACAATTCAGCGGCCGAGTCCCTGGCTGCTCGACAGAGGGATCCGCCGTCCTCCTCGAAGCGGTGACCTTCCTGGAGCTCACAAAGCGAAAGCTCTCCAGGAGCCCGGAGCCCAGGAGTCTTGGCTTAGGCCGGTCCTGTGAGCACTTCGGAGGACCTCGCTGGGAATCGAATTGCCTTCTGACGAGCCGTCGAACCAGGCGTGCTGGGAGACCTCGACAATTTTAGGCTCAGGTCCTTTAGGTCCGTTAGGTCTTCGACGCCTCAAGCCAGCTCTATGCACACCAAGAAGGTGCGCCCTCTGTAGGATATCTACACGAAAATCAAGCGTAGCCAAGGTGGCCAACAACTCCCCGCACCTCCTTGGCACTGAGGCGCTTCGTGACGTCGTGCTGCAACCTCGAGCAATAATAATGGCTATATATAGCCAAAGTGAACATAATTTCACGGTCATAGTCACGAGCCGTAGTCACAGCCGGAGACATACTATACCAATTGTAGCAAGCACAGTGACTAAGTAGGTGGGTGGGTGGTTAGTTCGTTCGTCAGTATGTCAACAGCAGAAACCCCGGCTGCTCCTTCTGGCCGCTAGCCTTTCTGCTCCAGCGGCGGCCGAGGAACGCGGTAGTCAAGCAGTCCAGGCACGTGTTGCTCAGCACCGCTCGCTTCTGCCAGGGGATTTTCTTTGTCAGGACCTCCACGGCCCGGCAGAAGCTGGAAGCGGAAGCTCTTTTTGGGCACGTCTGGCCCGGCCTTGATCATGATGTCTTTGGGATCCTTGCCATCGTAAGGGTAGGCTCCTCAGAGGCTCCAGGCAGGGGGCGGCCATGCGCGCCGTCAGAAAAGGAGAGAACTCTGAAGGAGTCTCCAACTCGGTGGGCGGCCGTACATCAGCAGATACATCAGGACACCGAAAGCCCAGACGTCGACGAGCTCCGTGTACCTGCCGGATTTTTTCATGCACTTCAAGGCCGTCGTCCCTCTTTCACGGCGCTGTTGGGAACTCGCGCATACGTCTTGCATCAGAAGTCTCGCGGTTTGTCCGTTGCTCTGGCGGCGCCTCTGCCCGATCAGTTCCGGCGCGACCTGCACAGGCTCTTGGTCTCATCGCCTGTTGCCTTCCTCCTTCCGATACTTGATGCCGACAAGGCTGCGTAGTGAGGAGACCCACAGAGCTCGGTCAGGAACCTGCAGACGATCTCGCTTTGCTTTGAAAGAGAACAGCTAGCTCTCTCTCTCTCTCTCTCTCTCGCTCTGCCCTCGTTTCTTTACGCTCTTGCGTTTAGAGATTCGCCATGGTCGGCCACATCTCGAAAGCCCAAAGCTATACGTGAGATAATTTCACATGTCATCAAGTGCTAGTTCCTTTGTTATTGCCAGTGTTGTTGCTCTGCTGTGTTTCCGGTGCAGATTCTGCTGCTGCTGCTGCTGCTGCTGCTGCTGCCAGTACCCATGCTCAATCTTGATGGTGGTGCTGCCCTTGCCAGCCACAATTACTGTCAAGACTCCTGTCTTGCTGAGGCAATCACTGTTTCTGTTGCGACTCTCAGAACATGTGACCGATCCCTTTTCGGACCATGCCGCGATGTGTTACGAAAAGCTTTCCGGAGACCCTTACCTTCTTGCATGTCGAGGCGCTGTCCTTCTTCAATTCTGGTTGCCAATCCGAAGTCGATCATCTTGATCTCAGGCATTTGCTCCCAAATCATCTCTGCTCTCAGCTGACCAAGACATGTTCCTTCGAGTCCCTGGCCTGGGCCATTTATACTCTGATATGAGTGTCACGCATCATCATCGTCATCACCACCAGCATCAGCATGATGAACATCTCTATTGCAACCTAGAGATTGCATCAACACTATCTCTACCAGTGCTGCCATTACTTCGGGCTTGCGGCGCTGATGATCAACGTGATGATCACCATCACGATGACGATGACGATGATGATGATGATGATGATGATGACGATGACGACGATGATGATGATGGTGGTGGTGATGGTGGTGATGATGATGACGATGATGATGAACCCTACACTAGCCCAAGACTTGGGCTTCCGGGGGCGTGGCTTTCGAGTGGATGGTCGGCTCTGCCAGGAGAAAATTCTCAGCTTTCACATCCCGGTGGACGATGCGCCTTACCAGCACCAGAGTTGAAACGAACCCTTCAGTGGATGAAAGCTTCGATTTCGGGCGGGGTGATGCCCTGATAATTTATTCCACCCTACTTGACCCCTTGTCCTTGCTGCTTGGGGCGCTTGTCATGTAGGTATGCGATGGCGGCCAGCATCTGCTTGCCCATGAAAGCTGCGTTCTCTTCAGTAAACCTCCCAGAGCAGCGCATTCTTACATGTCCGAGAAATCTGCGTTTAGTACATGTTGCAAGCACTAAAGGCACCCTCGCCTCCTCAGCTCAACGATCTTCGCAAACACTTCGCCGCCGGCGCAATGATCTGTGACAATATACCTTCGGAGGACTTTAAACCAAAGAACTGCAGCAAAACTCTTCTGACTGACAAAGCTGTCAAGCATGTACCCTCTGACATGCCCCCCGAAATACGTGACAGCCCCGAAAGGATGCATTGCTTTGTTGAAGAGAAAAGAGATGCATGCGCGCGCAAACACGGAAGGGAAACGCTGAGGAAGCTTGCTCTTTGCTGAGATGAGTAGACACTGTGGAAGCAAGGCTAAGTCTCGCCAAGAGGCAGGAAGTGCATGTCTTCATAGACATCGTGGAAGCCTCAAGCCAGCGCTAAGCCCCAAAACAAAGCGGCCCCGTCATCAGGTATTAGGACCGGGCGGATGATGTTCTCATGTTCCAGCTGCCCAAGCAGCTCCACTTCCTGGTCTAGGTCCTCTCGGCACACATTCCCGTCCTGGCATGGCCGAAGGATCCAACAAAAAACAAACGGGGCTAACAAGCAAATCAAATCCCTAAACAACCAACCAATACAGGGATCAAGATAAAAAGTATACTCAAGATTTCAAACTTTCAGACAAAAACAAAATCAAACCGGTATCAAAAATCCAAGCGCAAAGATCATGGTTTCTGCTGTCGAACCAGCGTCACAGCACTCTGGGCTTGAAGTTTGGGGGATCTTGTTTTCTTGGAGGGGGTGGGGGGGGGGGGGGGCTTTTGGCGAGAGAGAGAGAGAGACACGGTTCCAGGGGCAGGGTGGTTCGGTCGCAGTAGTACTCGCCGTAGCAGTTCGCGTGTTCATAATAACGGCAACAAGTAAAAGTAACAGTGAAAGGAAAAACAGCCATAGTCGTATATCAAGTTCTAGTCGAGAATGAAAGTGATAATCGGAATAAATGTTGCAATACTAATAATAACAATACTGATAATTACAATGATAAGACGCATGATAACCATAGTAGTCATCATCATCGTCATCATCATC